AACATCTCTATTAAAACATAAAGAATACTATTTTAGAAAATTAAACTAATGGGTGCTTTATTACTCCTTACTAGAAAAAATATAAATTGCAGAATAGTAAATACATTTATTAAAATGTTGAAAGTATAATAAAAAGAATCTTAAAAGCAATACTGTAGGCCTCCTTCAGGGAATACAGGAAGAAGGAATAAAAAAGGGAGCTAGTAGTAATCTTGTAGCTTTTTTGTCCACTTCATGATTATTCCCTGATGAAGCCTTTTTATGAAAAATATTAATTTTATTATTTTCCTTTGTTCTCCTTGTGTCATTGTAGGAGTCAAAGAGTAAAGTTTATAATGCAGTTAGAGATGGGGGACTGAAGGAGCACGAATAAAAAAGCACAGCACTTACTGAATGGCCTTTTCCGCACAGAAAACTTTGGTTTAGTTCCAGGTTTTGGTTGGTTTCTTTGTTTTTAAGACAGAACAGAGACATTTCCTTGCTGCAACCACTACTCACCAAACTTCCATGATTAACATATGTAACTTTTGTCTCTGAAAGAACATAACAACTATAAAGTGAAAACGTCAGTGTGCTAGTTGAAGGCAGGTCTTTTCCCATGTTTGGAGCCACATGATAGGCTGTTTTTTCGAGGAGTGACAAGTCCTTGTTCATGTGAGTAGCTTAAGTGGGAATACTTTTACAAGAGTGGTGAGCAGGATTTAACTCAGAGACCTGAGCAGTAAGAATGCTTTAAAACCTGCAACGTTCTTTAAAATTCTCTAACTGAAAAGTGAAAAAGTGTGATTTTTTTTGCTAACAGAATACAACCCTAGCGTGCAGATACACACATCTTCTGTTTTGTAATTAGAGTTATTTTTATATAGATACTGTATTCAGTATGTGTGTATAAAAGTTAACTTTAGAATGGAGTAACAATTTAATTGTTAAAACTCTATTGGGAAATACATTGCAAAGACTTAATATAAATGGCTGTCTTTCTATGACATCAGTTGAGAAAAGTGAATTGTGTCACAGAGTATGTGATCTTTTTTACACTAACTTTGTTTCTTATGGAAATCAGGTATTATAGAGAGATCCCTTTTCCGAGCTCTCATTGGCTCTGCATTTAGAGGCACCCGGTGGGGATTGAAAAACATTACTTTGTAGATGTATTTTCAATAAAAAATAGTTTTACATTATTTGGCTGTTGTGCCATCTTATTCAAATTTTATGTAATGGGGGAATCTTCATGCACATTCAAAACATGTAAGGGGACTTAAAGGTTCCATAGACTTGAGTACTTTTTACCCTGCAGGGTCTTACTGATGCATGAGTATTTCTCCTAGATTCAAATATCCATTTCCTAAACTTTTTCAAGAACAAGTGTCCAGTCTTCATGGGCAAAACAAATGAAAAAGAACATTAAGGGAAGAAATAAGAAGAGAAAATAAGAAAAAAAAGTGAAAAGTCTGAAGTCTGAAGACAATGTTGTAAAGAACTGGGAAATGATTTATCAACTTTAGCACTAATACTGATGACAGCACTGATTTCATGTTTATTATCACAAATGAACAAAGAAAAATAAAGTGTGAAAGAAGGCATGTGATTTGATGGGTTAGACCTCAAAATGAGGGAGTGGGTTAATTACATTTTCACTGCTGGATATTTTAGCTAATAATTGCAGCAACTGTCGATGAAGTTCAGTTCTCTTGAAAATATAAGTACAAAAATATTTAAAAGCATAGGGTTGGAAGAGATTTCAGGGGTCACATAGTTCAACCCCCTGCACAAATTCAGGATGCACTATTCTTATACCAGAAAAATGTCATCTAGCCTGTTTTTGAAAACCCTAATGGAAGGTATTCTACAAATTCCCCAAGTATCTGGTTCTACTGTCCTACTGTTCTGACAATCAAGGTTTTTCTGAGATTGAATCTAAATCTGTTGTGCTAGTTTAAACCAACTGCTTCATGTCCTGACCACTTTGGCAAAGGAAAAGTACTTCTCCATCTTCTTTATGTCAGTCTTTCAACTATTTGAAAACTGTTATCATGTTCCCCTTTAATCTCCTTTTTGCCACACCAAGCATATCTGGTTCTCTCTAACTTTTCTTACACAACTTGCATTCCAACCCTTTACCACCTTTGCTGTTCACATCTGGACCCTTTCCATTTTCCACACGTTGTTCTTAAACTGTAGAAGCCAGAATTGCACATAATACTCGGAAGCGGTGGCTTTCAACCTGTGGTCTGTGGACCCCTGGGGGTCTGCAGACTATGTCTAAGGGGTCTGCAAAAGATGACTATGATCAGTCAAAAGTATGCGACTATAAGACCTAATCAGCATGGAGCAGACAGATGGTATCCCCTCCTGTGTCTGACATGTTATACAGTATAAAATTACATTTGGGTTTTTTTGGCAATTGTATCTCATTGCTGACTCATGGTGAGTCTGATCTAACAAACCCCCCAGGAACAGTAAAGTCTGTGATCCAGCAAAATACTTCTCAGCAGTGCCGCTGCCTTTCCAGTCATCTGCCATCCTGTATTAGTGCAGGGTAGAGCACCTTACCCTTGTCCTAGATCAAGAGCACTGTTCTCCTGCTGCCAAATTTCCAAACCCATGGAGCGCCTCAGGCTCTGCACCTGGGATTAGATGCCCAATCCCAGGAAGCAGGGCTAGCCAGGGGCAGCACTGGGCCCCAGGGCCCAATCCTGCTGTTGGAAGCTGGGAGGGGGTGGTGTCAGGCCCCCAGGGCCCAATCCCAGCATACTGGAAGGGGTGCAGGCAGGCCCACAGGGCCCAATCCTGGCAGGAGGGAGTGGAACTGGGCCCCAGGGCTTGATCCTGGCATGCAGGGCTCCATATGACCCCACAATATTCATCTAGCCCACAGGGCCAAAAGACTGAGCACCTAGATACATTATTCTAGTCTTCAATCCATCAAGAAGATCCTTTTGAATTCTAATCCAACCCTCCAAAGCCCTCCCCATTTTGTGTCATCTTCAAGCTTGATTAGGATGGTCTGTATTTGTGTGTTCAAATTATTAATAAAACTGTTAAACAGCACCAGACCCAAACAGACCCCTGTGGGACCTTCCTATCCTGATACTGATCGATTTGTAGTTATTCTCTGTCCATACTTATTCAGTCCATTATGTATCCACCCAACAATAATGGTATTTTGCTCCATTTCTCTGGTTTACTTTTGAAAATGTCACATGGGACTATATCAAAACCGTTACTAAATACTACGTCCAAACAACTGCATTATCCCCATCTGCCAAACCAGCTATCTTATCAAAGAAGGAAATCAAGTTTTTTTTTTCTTAAGGAGTCAAAAAAGACAGTTTACTTGAAAGCTGTGCCATGGCTCAGCTACTGAACCATAACTAGAATTGTGTACGAGTACTTTGCCAATTCTATTACTTCGAGTTTGCAGCTATCAAAGACATTTTCCTTATAGGCACATGCATCCGCAGCCAAGGAGCCACCATCATTCGCTTAACATATAACCGATCAAGGACGAATGGAAACTTCCGCATCTCTCACACATATTGATTCAAACATGAGCTGAACAAACTTAGGTTATTTCGTTACAGAACCACCCAGTAAAAACAGATTTACAGGAATATTTTACAGTCACACACACACATTTGTATACGCTAAGCAAAATCGCAACAATCTGTAACACAAGATAAAGGACGGTAGGAAGAAGTCCATGTTGCACTTGGGGCTTGATTGTATAGTCACTGAAATCGATAGCAAAGCTGCCATTAAGTACCATTAACGGCACTTTGACATGCTGCTGTCCTCCCAGATTTCCCTAGGGCCACACACTAGTGATGCTCAGGTTGTGAATTCAGCTTACTTCTATTCCTCTTTTACAATGTCACATCTCCTTCTCCATCTGACCTGTCTCTCATCCACACCCTGCCTCCCTCTCCCCTCCCACACGCACCATTGCCAAAATAGCACTCAACCAAAGCCTTTCTGTCCAGAGTATTTGAATTTCTGGACAGCCTTGCATTTGCCTGTGTTTTGAACAGGAACAGGTACTTAATTGTCACAATTATGTTGCATGGAAAACTAAGGTTAAACCTATGAGTTTCTTCAATATTTAAACATTACTTATAACAAAGGACTTAATAAACTGTCTGTAAAATACTAAGTGCAAAACATTTTG